CTCATCTTTGCCTTGACGCATGATTCGCAGAAAGGGTTTCGATACCTGTGTGTAAGCAAATGAGCAATGGAGTTGGCGTCCCTCTTGAGGACTCCCACTTTCCTCTTTATAGATGATCCTTCGTACACATCAACTTCAATTCCGGCATCTGGATCATCCTCATCAACCTCTTCCTCGTTAGCTTCAGCATCACCATGTCGACGCGGGACTGGCTCAACGTCTACAGGTATTTCCTCAGCTACGGGAGGCGGACGTACCGGACCGGCTCCTCCGGGTGGTCCGAAGTCAAACGCACCATCATGGCGCTCGCCCTCGACCTCTGCGGATTCACCGACAGCGGCGGGTGTGACCTCGTTGTCATCGTCGCCATCCTGATCTGCCTCATCGTTCGTTACCATCGCCAATACTTCCGAAAAGTGCTCCTTGAGGTCGTCTATTGTAGGGCGATGCCTGTTACTCCGAAGTTTACCATCACTCACGAGGTATGGGATGTCGTCCTTGACTTGTAAGTGCACGAATCCCTGCTTTGGTGTAACCATGAAAGGTAGCTTACCAGGCATCCAGTGAAATGCATAACCCATTTTCATGCATCTCCTCCCTACCGACAATACCGTGGGTGTCTCGTCCAACACGTGCGGCTCGACAGTCTCGTCCAATTCGTCCACGACTATCTTGGCCACATCGGACGTGGAAGTGGAACCATTTGCGGTCTGAAACACGATCTCATCATCATCCTTCACAATATCGACACCTAGACTCTTTGCCTTGGCTCTTCCAATGAGATCATGACCACATCCAGTATCCATCAACCACTTCACCCGTTTGCTGATGCACGTTGACATTGCGAACACATTCTTCGGCAAACCATGCTGCTTCTTCCAGTCGACAGCCGATTCCTTGATCTCGTCCTTGTTCCGATCATATTCGAACATTATGCTGCTCTCCTTGGTTACTGGGAAGTAGTGCTTCTTGTACACGTCATCTACCACCTCTCTCAGTATCCTCGCTCTTATCAATGATCGTTGGACTTGATAGGCTGATAATTCTCGATGATCACTGCTCTTGAACTTCTTCTCGTCGACGTGCACGTACTGATAGGCTCATTTTCATTGTCCTCATAGCCGTGCCACTCCCCTTTTCGTTCCCATTGCCTGGTGATCTCCCCATTCTCGTCGACTTCGAGTACTTCCTTGAACCATACCATTTTCTCGGGGATCTCGGATTCGCCAGACCATCTTGATGATTCGCTCATTGCGTCGTCATCATGCTCGTGGTAGACAGTCTCGGCTTCATCCGGTTCGACATGGTCAACGTCCTTCTTGAAGCTGACCTTTCCCGCAGGAGCTGATTGCTTCATGACTATCGCAGGCATCGCGATGGCCCTTCTTGCAATAGCAGGCGCTGCGGCCTTGGCGGCAGCCTTCGACTTGGCTTGTGCCTTGTCGCTCGACGTTGCCGGAGCTGAATTGTTCTTGATGAGCTCGTGCCTATACTTGCAAGCACTCCCCTTGTCGCATTTTCCCTTCTGAAACGCGAAACATGCCCCGTCATCCCTCTTTGGTGACGATGATCTGGACTTGGACTTACCTTTTCCTTTCCCTTTGGACATGTTCTCCAGCTTGTGCTCCGTCTTCTTGCTATGGGAAAAGTTGCATTCATTCCCTTTTACGCACCCCTTCGCTGATTTGAAGTGGTACCAACATGGGTTATCTTTACCTCCACCCGGACTCTTGCCTCTGTCGCCGGCACCATCGGACTTGCCGTTCTTGCCAGCGTGACCCTTTGCCTTGGCCTTTGGGAGTACAGGAGCAGCATCAGGTCCACTAGATTTCCCCTTCCTGCCTTTGCCACCCTGGTTCTCCTGTTTGCCAGTGGCTGGGGCTGCATTTCTACCGCCCGAATTCATCATCGACTTGACCGATTTCTCCTTCATGTCAAGCATCAGGTCCTCCCGATCTGCCTTGATCTGATGGTCGATCAATGCCAACAAGAATTCGTACGTCTTTTGAGGATGCTTGTCCGGCAATCTGTGGTAGGCGTTGAGGCCGAACTCCATCTTCTTGCTCCCCTTGATCTTCCTGTAGAGAATATCTCTGAGAGCCAATTTGCTGGGTCTGTCTTCGCTCCTCATCTTCAGCAACAAATCATACCACCTGTTCCTGAATATAACCAAGTTCTTGTCTCCAGGAAAGTCAAGGTTGAATAGGTGCTCGATGTGGTAGACAAGATCCGTTCGATCTGAAGTTCTGAATGATTGCATAACCAATGCCACCAACTCTCGTCCCTTCACGATCACCCCTTGTTGATGTCGTAGTTCCGAATGCCGCGTAGCATCGAGGTACACGTCTTTGGCTTCGTCAGGTGCTTGTTTCAACATGTTCTGCATGCCCATGGCCATTTTGATATCTATCGTAGCGAATCTGTCGCCGCCGGAGTCGCTCAGCATATTCAGGTCTGGGTTTAACCCAAGAGCCTGTTCCAACCATTTCGTCCATGCGTCAGTATCTGGATCTGCGCATGCGCTCAGAACATTCATCAGCAGTTGCATCTTCCAGTTGTCGAGTTGATGGATCTTTGGCCAAGCAGGAATAGACACCCTCTCGGCTTCTTTCCTCGAAATCCTCGGTCTTTCGTTCTTGGTTTCTCGATCATCCCTCGATCTTCTGCGCCTCCTCCGTGTCCGATTGTCATCTTCTTCTTCTTCTTCTTCCTCGTCCTCTTCGTCCTCTTCATCGTCGTCATCCTCGTCCTCATCACCGGGTGGATCATCCGGAGGTCCTCCTCCGCCACCTGTGAGGCTCAACTGACGTCGACCTGCCCCTTGTCTATTTCCATTGGGCGAGAATCCACCGTAATCCAATGGGGGTGTAGTACCGTTGTTTCCCCCTCCATCACCACTACCACCAGCTGTAGTAGCGAGTTGTGGGACATGCCCAACAACCCCCTGCATCTGGGATAGGTGTACATCGATCATTGGATCACCAAAAGACGGAAAAAGAATCGAACCTGGCATTAGTGACGAATTAGGGATCAGATTCGATGATGATGACGGGAATAACCCAGTCACCCTCTTGTCTACCCTAGTCGAATTAGCTTGGGGTCCTCCCTCAGCGCGTTTCACTACTGCTCGTTCACGATGTCCATCTTTACTACTAGAGGCTTCCTGTGTCTCCAGCTTCTTGAGTGCTCGTAGTTCCTCGTTGTCAGCATCGAGTTGACGAACAAAACTCTCTTCTTGCTTGAGCGTCGCCTCTCTTTCTTTCAGCTGTCCCTGAAGCTCATGCATCTCCTCGAGGTACTCATCATACACCCCTTTAGCTGTCAATCTCCAGTACTCAGCCTCCTTCGATTTCTCGTCCATCGTGCACCGCTCTTCTTGTTTTGCTTCTCTGACCTGGGCTAACTCCAGGATCGCATCTTGACGATGACCACCCTCGATAGCAATCATCTGGTCCTTCTTCGACACGTCGGATTCGTACTGTTTGACGATCTCCTCCTTCTCGCGAAGCAAGCACTCTGCTCTCTTCGATTCTTGCTCCGCGAATGTTGTAACGTCGTTCAGTCTCGCCATCAACTGCTCCCTGGAGTCCTCCATAGAGTACGTCTCGGGGCGTTTGACGAGTGCATGCTCCAACTGTGATTTTAGACTTTGGACCATCTCCTCCTCGTTGAACTTCTCGATAGATATAGACGATTCGATACCTCTGATCTGTTGCTGATAAACTGATATTTGTTGTGAAGCCTCACGGTGTATCTGATTTGCTTGTATAGCTGATTCCTGCGCGGCCGACTTCTCGCTTGCCATGTAGGATCTCATCACTGCAATCTCCCGCTTCTGCTCCATAATAGTTCCCTCAGCTTGTCTCATCTGTTGTATGATAACATTCGACTCCATGTCTTTCTTTTCCCCGTACTGATATGCGTTCATTTCCACCTTGCGCATCTGTTGGGCTTCCTCCTCAAACTTGCGCCATGCCTCAGCCATGTGGTGTTGGTGGTGACTCACAAGATGTCCCGACTGCTTGCTGGCAATCTCGCATCGTCTCTCCAGCTCCTGGATCCGGATGGTGCTCCCATAGTCTTCTTGATGAAGATTCGCCATCGCTGCCGACATTTCATCAAGTGTCTTTTGATATTCCCCGATCTCCATCTCCATCTTGTTCTTTTCTTTAATCGCGGCGCGAAACTCTGCACTGGTGGGTGATTTAGACCTCCCACCTTTCGATGTTGACCTCACGCCCTTCTGCGACGTCCGTGGTGTCGCAGGCGAAGATGATGATCTTCTCGGTGGGGATTCTCTTTGCTTCGACTCCTGACGAGCATCGATCTGTTTCCATGATATTGTAGGAGTGGATACGTCGCTGAATAGCGCGGATCCTCCGCTCCCAGGTTCATCCTGTGAATCTGCGATCAAATCCATCACCGCAGGAAGAGCCATCAATCCATTGGATCCCTCTGAGCTGCTGTTCCCAAAAGTTGCAGTACTTGGGCTCGCTGAAGATGCCATTGTACTGTGTAGGTTATTGTCCCTTTATTGTCCCTGTACCCGCAATAAACCAGCTGTCTCTCTGTCCAGTGTAGAGCTTGTCGATACGGCTGATAACCTGTCAAGAGACGGCAAGGTGACGTCCCGTGGGACGCTGTCCACCGAACCCTCCAGCTGTAATACCAACCACGTAGAAAGGTGTATACGGTCAAACCGTTATAGCCGAACCCGTGCAAATGTTGTAAGGGAGAAGGAATAATAGTTACAACAGTGGTCCTGACAAATGCAGCGCAAGCGAAGTGTTTTCCGCTCTCAATTGCCGATCACGTATGAACGCAGCTACACATAAGATCTTGAACCTCACTTGTGTCTTGAGCCAAATGGCAATCAATGGAACCTTGGAAGCAACACAAATACGGACCGCAGAACTGCTTCCCAATTTAGGCACGGGGCCAGGAGGGTTTTAACACCTCCCAACAAACATTTGACAGTGAACACCCGTATACGGCCATGCCTTCGCCTTCGCCCTCGTTGAAGCGCCGCCACAATCCCACAGCTCGCGCCCAGCCGGGCGCCTCAGCGATCCAGGCGGCCACCTGACCCAATGGAATGCGAAACGACTGAAAAGGTGCCCAAAGGTTTTGCAGTGGGAGACGTTGGCTTCTCCAGTTGGCCAAAGAGAGGTCTGCTTCAAGTTTCTGTTAAGTAGGCGTTTTTTTGGTGTCAGTCGTGCAATTGCATTTGCACGCCGTTGCTTTGGCACTGGACTTTTCCCGCTTGAGGTGGCAAAAATTGCACAGTTGTTGGGCTCCTCCGTTGAACTGAAGAATCAAAACAAAACTTGCAGGCGGGCCAGCAAATATCCAGCTACGAGCTAAGGGCTGAGATCTACCCAAAACTGATTAGCGCGTCAGGAGGTTTGATGTGCGCAGCGTTTGTTTCCGCAAACTCTTCGTCAGGGGGAACATGTTTGGGCATTTTTTCCTCGAAAGCATTGCGAAGGGTTCTTTGGAAAAAACCGGCTGACGGCTACACAGCTGACTTACGCAGCGTGCTTGACAAAGCCTGACTTACGCAGCCTAGCTTACGCAGCGTGACTTACTCACACCGACTTACGCAGCCTGACTTACACAGCCTGACTTCCGCAGCCTATCTTACGAAGCCTAGGATACGCAGCCTGACATGCGTAGCCTGAGCTACGCAGCCTGACTTACGCAGCCTGACTTACGCAGCCTGACTTACGCAGCTTGACTTACGCAGCCTAGCTTACGCAGCCTGACTTACGCAGCCTGACTTACGCAGCCTAGGTTACGCAGCCTGACATATATAGCCTAGCTTACGTAGCCTGACTTACGCAGCCTGGCTTACGCAGCCTCACTTACGCTGCCTAGCTCACGCAGCCGAGCCTCGCAGCCCTTATGTCTTCTTTCTTAGCCGGGGGTGGGTCTGGCGGGCGCTGGGGGGATGAACCCTCTGCGGGGAGCGTGAGTGTCGAATCGCTCTATTGACAGCCAGCATTGGGGTTTCAGACACAAGGCCAGCTTGGACAGGATCACCATGCAGCCCCGCAATCCGGGCCAACGGCAATGAGTCATACGCTGACGCAATCTCAGCGGCTACTTTCTGCAACTCGTCAGCAGACCCGGGAAGGGCACCTCGGCTTTTTCACCACCCTCGACCCTGCGCAAATTCTGCTGCTACCTCTCCAACGCCCCCGCTGTACAGTAGAACTAGCAAGCTTGAAAAACTCGTCGGCGCACATCGCCAGCTATGGCCCCTCTGATGAGGCCGAGTCTGTCGCTTTGCCCTCTTCTGCAGCGCCCGCAGGCGTTGACCCACATCTTCCAGCTCCGCTCTTAACACTTCCGGGCTCCCCGACATGGCTGGCGCCACGTTGAACCGGTAAAGTTTAGACACGCCGCGCAAGTCTGAGCAACTCAGAAGCAACTAGTCGCTGTAAAAGCCATTGCGGAAAACAACCGCGACAAGAAGGGTGCCAAGTTGAACTGCGCTTGTGTAAAGCCACGTGCTGGAGAAGGTTATTGAGTCTAAATCTTCAATTTCCTGCAACAGACGACGAGCAACTGGATCAAGCGCAACTGCGCTCAGCGCTGGGGAAATGAAGACATGAGTGTCGAAAACTGTAACGCGAAGCGTATCCCTGCCTAAGCGGCAAAGAAGCGTTGCGCAACTGTAGAGGACCAGGTTATCAGGTCTGCATCGCGTCTACATGCCCAACCCCGGAAACAGGCGCGGCTCAAAATGCGAAACTTGCCACTTTTCTCTTGCACTCTTTCGGTTTGCCCTAGACCAAGACTGCAAGGCAATCTGGAACACGCGTGTGATTTTGGTTAGCGTTCGCGGTCCGAGCAGAAATAGCGCAAAGACTTTTCACGTCGGCTTTTCCTTTTGCAGAAAGGGACGCGCTGGGCCAAAACTGGTCGCTTTTTGGCGGTCCGGCCTTGCTTACGTTCTCTTTTGCAGCCTTCCTGGCCCCGCCAACTTGAAAACCACGCAGCCTAAACCCTAAGCAGAGCTGGCGTTTTCTAGCGCAACATAGCTGCTACTCAAAAAGGGGCAACCTTGCACAGCGGAAGGCCAATCTGCAGGTTTGCAACAACAAATCGTTTCTTGCCGGCAAAACAAGCAAATTCCACTTGAGACCCACACTTCTGGCCGCGGGTTGCGTTTGGGAGTTATACGTTCAAACGCACAAAGCTTAGGTAGAGCCGCAAAGAAGCTTCCAAAGGGCAAACAAATAGCACTCTTGGAGACCAAATCCCATCCTTGCAACTCCAAGCTCAGCACACCCACGCAATCCAGCACGTGGGCCGCCCCTGCCTGCCCTGCGAGCAGGCTCCCATCCTGCAGGTGCAGCCAGCAAACACAAAACGCAAAGTTCGAAGAAGGCAAGCGCGCTGCAATTTGTCACCCACTGAGCTGCCACGCTGAGTGCCTGACTGGACGTAGGCAACAAAAGCGTAAAACTTGTGAAGGCTCCTTGGCGCACACTCCACAACCTAACCAACAAGCGACCTTCCTGCCCTGTGACTTGCTATTTTGCGCTGGAAAGCAACTCAGACACCAGCATTAGCCACTGCGTTTGCTGGGAGCTGGAATTAGGCAGAGGACAGAAAAATTTTTCCGACAGCTGTACAACCACCCTGTTTCCCGGGTTGCCAAGCCAGTCATGCGACTCCAGATGCTGCAAGTTCTTGGTTGAGAAGTTAATTGTTACAGCCACGGGGACGCAAAACAAATCCAGGTGGAATGCACAAGTTCCGCCTGCTGGACCCAAACCCCACAAGGGAATCATACTTTCCCTGCAGCTTGTCTTGATGGTCGACAACAAACTGCAGGTCACGGACGTCATCTAAAACAATCCCATCGTGTGCTTTGCGGGAGAACTGCCACATCCCGTCTGGGAAAAAGTCCAAGGAACCTATCTTGAGTTCCAAGCAAAGCAGGATCGAAAAAGGCTCTTTGCCCACTCTGCCTTGCCACTGCGGGAGGGGCCAAGCACCACCAGGATGGGATACCGAAGCGCATCTTTCTTGAAGAGCTGCAGCCAAGCATCCGCTTCAGGGATGGATGGAAACTGTTGGTAAATTTCTGGGTTGCTGCGAATCCTCTTGACCCGCTCCTTGACAGCCAGCTGTGAAGCCACTCGATCTTCCCGTTCGAGGCAAGCCTGCAGATTCCGCTTCCTTGAAACCACGCCATCCCGGGTCAGGAAGAGAAGCCGCTCATAAACTTCAGAACTGATTTTACGCTGCTTCCACAGTGTCTCAGGCCACTTGCCAAGAACCTGATACTTCTTGACAGAATCTGCCCAGCAAGGTAAGTAATCTCCTCGGTGAACAAGGTGCCGCACTTGTCAGCGTACACATAGAAGAACCCCCGGTCGATGGACCGTTGTAAGCTCTTGCGGCAAAGGCCCTCCCCGCATATGTCTGTGGTGGGCGTGTTTGTGCGGCTGCTCCCGAAGCTGAACTGCCCTGTCAGCAGCTGCAAACTGCAACATGACACGTGTGTGAGGGGCTCCTGACTCACACCGCTCCATAGAAGCGCACCAGTTCAGCATTTCCAAGGTTGGAGGTGGTCTGTCAGAAAGCAGGCCAAGCGGACTCGGGGACATTGTGGTAGGTCAGGAGGACAGCGCTGGAGCGTATGTGATAAGGCTTTGCAGAACTGCTTCCTCCGCCTGTCTGAATCGGCAAAGTCGTGGCCTTCTTGTCTTGACGAATGCGGGCCTGGCCACAAAGTTGTCGCCACTTCTCCCTTGCTGCCTGCAGCCATTGTTGGTCTTCCAACTTGCCGCCCTTGTCCGGGTGAGTCCGTTTTACCACTTTCCGGAAGGCCGCCTCCGCAACATGAGTCTCGGAGTCTCTGCTGACTTGCAGATGCAGACGGATGCAGAGCATACTGCTGCGCAAGAGAGAGCAAGACAGTGACAAGCGCTCTCTTGGCAGCTTGCACTGCGGAGACAACCATGGCGGAGGAGCACGGGCTACTTTGACTTAAAATTCCCAAGGATTGAGCCTCCGCGGAGGAGTTGTCTGTGCAAAACTGCCTAGCACGGCCGCGGAGGAGACCTCCGCCCGTTTTAAATATACATAGTTTTTTGTTCCGTTCTACAGCTCCTCCGTGCTCCACTGACAAACAACCCCGCTAAGAATCTATGGGGGTGAAGGGGCTGCGCCTGTCCTTGGGGACGCTGGCTTGAAGCAGTGTAGACGACGTGCCTGACGCGAAAAAACTCAGGCTTCCCACCTTCACAGCTTTGTGTTCTAAGACTCGCGCCAAAGATTCCTCGGTTTGCGCAGACAACGCGCTAGCTGTGGCACTGTGCGGTTTTCTTCTTCGGGGATTCGCAACTTCGCCGACAAACCCTCTGCGGGGATTGTGTGTCGAAGCGCCCTCGCTGTGGCGCCGTGCGGCTTTGCAACTTCGCCCGCGAACCCTCTGCGGAGATTGCGCGTGTCGAATCGCGCTCGCTGTGGCGCCGTGCGAATTTGCAACTTCGCCGAGGAACCCTCTGTGGAGATTGTGTGTGTGTGTGTGTGTGCGTGTCGAATCGCTCTCGCTGTGGCGCCGTGCGAATTTGCAACTTCGCCAACGAACCCTCTGTGGAGATTGCGAGTGTCGAATCGCTCTCGCTGTGCCGCCGTGCGGAGATTGTACGTGTCGAATCGCTCTCGCTGTGGCGCCGTGCGGAGATTGCGCGTGACGGATCGCTCGAGCTGTGGCGCCGCGCGAATTTCTTGCTTTCGCTGCTCGCGAATGGTCTTTGAAAGTTGTCTCGTGGTTTGCGCGCCTGCTTTCGCAATCGCGTCGTCGGTTCCCCGCTGGTCCGCGCCAGCTCCGGCTCAAGAATACCAATTCTCAAGTTCCAAAGTATAGTACGGAAACTGCGCTCCCGCAGGTCTGGCTGTAAAAGTAGTACGCGAAGTGCACTCCCGCAGCTCCCGCTGCACAATCGCAAAACAGAAAGAGAAGGATAAAGAAAAAGAGAAAAGAAAAGGACAAAGATCAAAGAGAAACAGAAATGAAAGAGACAGAGAGCGGGAGAGAGAGAGAGAGAGAGAAGAAAAAAAAAAGGTAAAGAGAAAGAGAAAGAGAAAAAAAAGAGACAGAGAGCGGGAGAGAGAGAGGAAAAGAAAGGTGAAGAGAAAGAGAAAGAGAAAGAGAGAGAGAGAGAGAGACGGGGCGAATCGATTGCACAGCGGCGCGCGCAACTCAGTGTTGAATGCGTGGGCTTGATTGCGCAGTTTCACGTTCGCCGAGTAGCATTGCACATGGATGATGAGGCAATGCTGCAATGCGATTGCTGCATGCTAGAAATAGGTTGCAAAGCAACCAACAAACATCACCCCCAACAAACAGCCCTCCCCACATCAAAAGGAACAAACAAGCAACTGAACACATTACACGAATCAAGCTCATTTCAATTGCCGAGCGCCCACCTGCGCTAGCGGGTCTGGACCCTGCAAAACGTCTGCCAGCCGTTGGCCGTCAGCACGTAGCACCACGGCACAAACCTTCTCTGCCTGCGTACCCCTTCCGGTTCGATTGCGAAACCGGGAAAAGTTGGGTGACAGGAGAGAGCACAATTCGGTCATTTTGTTGCTCATCCCCTGCACTTACCCACAATTACCCACACAAAGGACATGTTCCATCAAATTTCACCCTGGTGCGCAACCCCCCTGGTCTCTCTTTGAAGGGAAGCAGTCATCAAAGTCGAGCTTTGAACAAACTTTGATAAACAGTTTGCCCGACCGGACCCACAGGGCGAGGCACAGGCACACGCAGTTCAGAATCCTTCTGCAAATCAATTGCAAACACCTTTTAAGCAAGCACACCCCTGTCATAATTGCCTTGTATGAGTGTGAAGGGCGTGCGCCTGAGAATCTCAAATGCCCCTCTGCAGCAGGTGGCTGGTTAGCCGAACCAAAACGACTTTCCTCATCCAAGCTGCAGATTTCAACGAAGCGACGGCCGCAGGCAAGCAGTCCGTTGCAAAGAAGATGCGGCACTGCTCACGCTTCACCCGTTTGGCACTCAGGCGCGTCCGCAGCTCCCAAAGAGCAAGTCGATCTAAACCTGGATCGGGGCCATGACTAAACATTGACCAAAAAGAAAAGCCACGAGGTCAAAAGGTCGGCTTTGGCAAGTGAGACAATATGGGTCCGTCTTTTTAGGGTACCCCTCAAAATCATGCCTTTAAAAACCAACCAACAGGATAAACCCCCAAAAACGACACACACACACACACCCCTACATATGGCGCATGGCATTGAACATTTTCCCAAAACATGAACGAAAAGCAGCCGAGAAACCTCCCTGGCTGAGAGTCATCATGTACTGCGCCTGGCCAGGTGGGCAACATGGCTGCATCGTGCCCTCCGGGTGTGCGCATTGTTTGAGGACCCACAAGATGGTGTTTGGTTGGTTTCCCGCTAAAACCACCCCCAAAAAGGGAAGCCTCAAGCAAAGACCAAGGGACGAGGCGAGCTTGCCAAGTGATTTCATTTGGCTCTCCACGCTGCCTATCCGATCCGCCTTGTGCAACAAACCTGGCCAGCATATTGCGGATCCAACACTAGGCCAGTAGTCCGTTCCCGGAAACACACGAAAGGGGTTTGAGCACGCAAAGCTGTTTGAACTAGCCCTTTGTGTGTGTGTCTTTTCCCAGGCATCTGTGCCGTGTTTCACGGGCGTGTAAGGTCTTCGCGTTCGTTGACCCTACAAATATCTGCTTTGGAAGGCAACAGTTTGGCCTTTTCGGACTTGGGAGGCTGCAAGGACCGGCGTCAAGAGTCAGATCATGTTTAGCAGGGATCCTTACGTTATACACCTGAACATTGCCTTGTACATGGTGGTTTGCCTTTGTCTTGGTGGCAAAAGCCATGTTTCAACTGGTTGCAAAATGTATCGTTTAAGGAGCCCTGTTAAAGAGGGCGCAATCCCACCCACATGTCGTTTCCCCGGCCTTGTCCGCATCCAAGGGTTCGTCCTCCTCCTCCTCCAAGGCCAGGCGCAGGATTCGGGCCAACTGGCTCTCTTTGCCGTGAACGCGCTGCGCGAGATCTAGAGGCTGCTCTTGTGTGAGGTGCGTCCTGCACAAGCAACGTAGCCTGCAGTCATGCGGCTTCTCCTAATCGAGTTTGGAACTGGTTTGGATTTGGGGCACTCATGCGGGCACCCATGCAGGTAGTATCAACCCGAGAAACTTTCCACGGCACAAACAACTGGGCAAGCGTGTTCTAAAGGTCTGCTTCTCTCAACACTGTTCAGTGTGCTGTGACATACTCCCCACATGCGTTCTGGTTTCGCACACCCGTGCCGCGCGCAAGCTGCGCCCTGCAAGCATTGTGGTGCGGACGGTTACTGTGCGCTTCTTGTGATGTGACACTCAGGCGACACCTTCCACCCACATATGTTGTGCATTCAGAAAGCTCAACGTAACACGTGCAAATTGGATCGGATAAGCTTGCGGATACCCGACTGCAATCTACTCCAGCAATCTACTCCAACAGCCGCAACTCAGCCTCGCCAAACCCAGAGACAGCATCGTTCAGTCTCGCCATAAACACAAATCTCCGTCGAAGAATGCAGCTTCCTGGTTGCTCTCTCTGTACGCTACTTGACTTCCTAAGCTTTCGCAACTCAAACAGGGCAAGCGATTTTGCCCCCCGATGGGCAAATACTGGTTGCAGCTGGGCAGTTGTCCCAACATAGTTCAAGGTGATATATTGCAACTTTGGGATGCCTGCCACAGAACCGATGCCCAGGGAACCTCCGCGACCTTTACAGGCCGTTCATTTTTCTGGGAATTCCTAAAACCATGGGCTGAGAGGAGTGGCCAACATTGCAAACCGGGGTGCAGCTAAACCGGGACAGGGGATGGGTGGGACAATTGCTCAACATCAAATCAAGCGTCCACTGTGCCACCTGAATGGCCTACGAAATCTCTCCCAATCACATTGCCACAAACACGTCTCGATTCGTCTCTGGTTGATGGCGAGCCCTTGAAGCAGCATCTCCAGAAGACCTCATGATTCCGTCAACCGTTGCTGAACCAGCTCAGGCTGGTTCTCCACAGGTTTGTTTGCAGCCAGCTTGGTTTTTGTTTAAACGTGGGTGCCAGTTAGCACCGAATTGCTTCGCTCCTCTTTGCCATCTGGTGCGCCGTGATGGCCTTAGGCCTGGGGTTGGCCCTGGCCGCCAGCAACAGCTCCAGGGCCTGCGCTCAAGCATTGACCCCCAATCTAGAAAAGCAAAGTTTGTCCATGTTCCTTTTGGATTTTAGTGTCGTTTTGGGGAAACATGACAATGGGCTGTTGAGCATCGAACAGGGGAGCAGCCATTCAAATACTCGTTCTCAATAGGGAAATTCAGTTTGAAGTCATTCCCTCATTCCCTAGTGAGAACCAGCCAAAAACGGTCTTAAACAATTTGGACCTGCAAATTAAAAAATACAATGGGTCATATTCATATTTCTCGTTTTGGGGGGACCCCTTTTTTCGGGTTCCATTTTGTTTTGCAGCCTACATGCTGTTCTTGCAGGGTCCTTTGGGCAGAGTAGCATATGCCATGCGAAGCACCAGTGTTTCGTGAACGGCAGAAGGAAAACAATCGAATGGTGTTGATCACGGTTTCATTTTGAGGTCGGAGAATATGCATGCTCGCCATGTTCAAGGCCAACCAAGGAAAACGACCATGGGGCCCCCCATCACCAACATATCCGCAGGTCGAATATTGCTTTCAACCCCATCAGATTCCCTTCCCTTCAAAGGGGACCAGAGTGGCGCTTATTTGAAACAAAGTTGCAACCGATCAGGGTTGTGGGACTTGCCCACTTCTGTGATGTGGAACGACTTCCACTTGCCTAATTGGTTCGTGTGTTTCCCGTCGCTTTTTCCCACTCTTTCTTGTGATTTTTGCCCACGTTCTTGCCGCTGGGGGCGGACCTTTTACAAGAGTAGTGTGGTTCAAGGTGCTTAGGGTGGGTTCGAGTTGGGTTTAGGGTTTACGGGGTTCAAGGTAGCTTCACGGTAGGTTAGGGTAGGTATGGGTAGGGTAGGCTGGGTTTAGGGTAGCTTAAAGGGAAGTTTAGGGTGGGTGTTTTAAGGTTGGTTAGGCTCAGCTGCCCAATGCCTAGGGCAAAAAAAGGACATCCTTTTTTCGTTGCAGCGCCTTGTTTCATGTATGGTTGGCCGCGGCAAGTCCGAACACCATTCTGGCTCTGCAGCTTCCCCAGCCATTTGTTGGCGCTTGACGCGTCAGGCTGGCAAGGCAGCAAGGTCCTGCAGGTGTGGGAGACACACATGTTTGCTCCACTGCGCCAAAAAAAAGCAGCCTTGCTTGCCAGCCGCTGCGGGCAAAGCACCTGTGCCTTTTTTTGGCGGACCCCCCTCACGCTCTGTGCCAGTCAATTCCGTTTAGAGATAAGCACTGCAGTGGCTCATGAAGACACCCCAACGCATCACCTTGCTGTATCTTTTGGCAGCCACATCTTCTTTGTAACTGTCATGGTGCGTGCCAATCGCTAGGGTTGAACAATGGCACAGAGGGATGTGCACTTGTAACACAAGTAGCTAAGTCTCAGGCATCAGCCGGAGGATCGACCGACACAAGCTGCCCTTGTAGCGAGCAGCTGACTTCACCAACTTGCCGAGCTCGTGATGCAGTGACAGCGAGGGGTCGAAGCAGACCCTCCTGTTCTACAGACAGTGCTTCTTGCAAGCGAATCAAGGGCTGCAGCAAGCGGCCCACTGGTCCCGGCCACATAGCCGCCGAACAGTCGCACCGGGCAGCACAAAGCCCAATTCACCTGTCGTAAGCCTGCGCACACAATATCGTAACATTGGCACTCACTTGCCGGAGTTTTGGTGCTCAACGCGCCGCCTCTCAAAGCTGATGTTTTGACGGGTCTGCCTAATGTTCCGGGCAGAGCGGCCAACATAGTTCTCCCAACATAGCCTGTTCGAAATTCCGGGGGCCTAATCGCAATCTGTAATCCGCTTATTCCTTGTTTTTGTTGGTAATCTGCTTAATCCGTAATCCGCGCTGCAAACTTTGGGTCAGAACCGAGTGCGTTCAGTTGGTTTAGGTTGGGTTTGGGGTGGGTTTAGGGTGGGTGTAGGGTGGTTTAGGGTGGGTGTAGGTGTTCAGGGTGCCTAGGGTTCGTTCAGACTGGTTTGGGTTGGTTTTGAGGGTGGGTTTAGGGTGGGTTCAGGGTGGGCTTAAGGTGGGTTTAGGGTGCGTTGGGGGTTGGTATAGGGTGGGCTTGGGGGTGGCTTTGGGTTAGGGTGTGTTTGTGGGCCTAGGGCAGTTTAGGGTTGGTTTTGTGTTATCAAGCCTAGGCCACCTAAGGTAATACCTAGGCAAGCAGCAAACCGTTGACTACTTTTCACACTGCTGATAGTGCTCTTGAAGTCTGTAGCGGCGGAGCATGTACAAGGTACACTCATGCACAGGGTTGGAACCTGAATCCACACCCCCCTCATTTGAGATTGAGCAACAACGAAAATGTCGGCAGGTTTTGCAACCCGCTTTGATTCCATACGCACATCCATTGCACGTTGAAAATGGACATTACACATCCGTCGTGCATGCAAATTGCTACTCTCTCTCAGAAGGGCTCCGTTGTGATGAGGATTGCATTCACCACCTTCCGCTAGTAGACCAGCCGCGCGAACTCCAGGTCGACCACTGCCAGCCGCTCCAGTCCTGACTGCTCCAGTCCTGACTGCCCCAATCTCTCCAGCTTCGGCTTCTGGCAGCGGAGCTGGAGGCGGGCTGAGCAGCTTGCACAGGTCCGCGGGCGCGGTCCTCGGCGCTTTGCTTTTGGCTGCGCCGTGCGAGCTTCTTCGCATCGTCCTCCGCCTGGCCGCAAATCTCCTTGACTTCAGCTTCGAGGTCCACGGCTCCGGTTGCCCGGAGCGTAGGGAACTTCGCGCCAAAGGTGACGAGATTGCGCATCCCCGGGAGGATGTTGACCTGGTCGACGAATTGATGAAGACTCAGCATTTTCCCGTTGTACGAGAATAGCCATGGAAACTCAAGCAGGCTGGCGTCATAGTCCCCGACCTTGCCGCCGGTGACGTAGACGGTCCTCACATATTGGAGACCTCGTTTTCCATAGCGTGGCCCAACCCCGAGAAGTCGTTGATCATAACTCCGTGGAAATTCGGGGAGGACACAAAACCTATAGATAGACATCTGGTAGAGGCTGTCGCGGTTGTGCCCTTGCTCCACCATGCGAAGGGCGAAGGTCGCGTCTTTGTCAAACCGATCTACCACATTGTCGTATCCAAGCTTGCGGGCCCTGCTGTCGTAGTTCTTCGAAGCCTCGATCTGCTTGGCTTCAAAGGATGTTGCTCCTCTCTTTGCAACATCAGCATAGCCCTTGAAATCATTGATGAGGAGCTGGTCAACCGTCTTGCCGACGCGGTGGCTCACCTCCTCAAGCATCTGCGTTCTCCGCTTTGCGGCTCTGAAGAGCTGAACGTCGTTGTTCTCCTTGGTGCTCCGTCCACAGCGCTGACACTTGAGCTGCCCCTGCATCATGTCCTCGCCGCAGAGGCTGCAGTCCGTGTAGTGGACGGGCATCGCAAAGGTCTTGAAACGGACAACTGAGGTGTCGGCCGCGGGTTGCCCCGGGCAAGAAGCGGCCGTATCCTCATTTGTCTGCTCTTCTTCAGGATTTGTGGCCCTGTTCCCCTCCGCATCGGTCTGAAAGGCCTCGTCTGCAGTCACAGTGACGGCTCGCCTTGCGGCGAGCATATCGACAGTCGTTTGATTCTCCAATGCCTCAAGACGAAGGGCGTTCCTCCAAAGCACTTCTCCGGTCTTCGCGTCTGTGTAGTACAGAATGGAGTCATTGGGAACGATGTCGTTGGTCAGCATGACATCAGACTCGGAAAGGAAAAACACCACTCCGAGCTCAATCGCATACTTGAAGTCGATCACAAGCTCAATGGGCATCGTTGCTCGGACTCCAGCATTATACGATGAGCTCTCTACCGGGTGGATGGAAAAATGGCTTTGCGAGCGGCCACTCTCCGTGGCACCAACGCCACCCGGGACCAAACCTGTCCTGACGATGTTCTCGGCTGCGTTCTTGCTCGTGCGATGGTATAGTTTGCCAGGGCCATCCTCAACCGGTGAAAGTTGCAGTCCAACCTTGCGAGCGTCCTCCGGGAGAAACTTCCCATAGACGGCCTTCGCAAGTGCATACTGGTTCCGGCTGATGTCGCCATCAGCATCAACGCTGCTGGCGTGTCCCTGACTGGCACGAACCTTGATGACAACCCACTCCTGGTTGTTCTCGGCAGCCGAAGGGTGCTTGATCGCAAGGACGGTGTATCTGCATTTCGGATCGAGTGCAAAAATCTTCAACAGCGTTTTGTACCCGATATTGCTGCGGGTCTTTCTGTTGAATTTGTCACATAGCTGATGGACGTCGACAAAATAGTTCTCATCGAAATCGAGTGGCCTCTGTTCTTGAAATCTGCCACGAAGCATACCAGATATGGTTGTGCACCGATCGGTAGAGGACGTTTCTCCCTTCATGAAGTTGGGCACCTTCAGGATCGTGCCCGGGAGAATCCTCGCCTCATACTCCTGGCCGCGGAAGATGACGGTTCCGCCGGGCTTGCCTGGCAATGCGCTTCCGGCAGGGGTTGCCCCCCGCACATCCGACGCCACCGCAGCAGTTGATGGTTTCGCCTGTACCTTAGGCGATGGTTTCGCCTGTACCTTAGGCGATGCTTTCGCGGTGAACTTGGGTGTAGCCGGAGCGGCCTTGACGCCAAGCGCAGCCTCAGCGGCACTCCCTTGCGGGAGTGCATCATCGTCATCATAGTCGATCTCCTCCTTGATTTCGACTTCCTCGATCTTTTCGAGGATGCGGCCCTTCGCGAGCTTGATCGGACGTTGAAGGCTTTCCCATGACTCAAGAGTGAGCTTCCTGTTCGCCTCATACTCGGCCAAAGTGTTGGGGTTGAGTCCAGCTTCGGCGTCATGAGAATATTCAAGGTACAACCTGACGTTGTTGAAATCTTCTTTGTGGGACTCAACGACAGCGACACACTTCATGACGTTGTACAACGACCACAGCCACTCCACCGTCGTCTTCCGGTTCTCGATGGAGTCCATGTGATAGTTGTCAAGCCGGTCCTGACGAGATACCAAGAACGTCGACTCCTTCTTGCGAAGGAGCTTGTGCTTGTTGAGCGA